TTTCTGATTTTATTTATTTCAGTCTTTTCTCCTCTTATTCTTAATTAGACTGCCCTAGAATATGTTGTTTTTCTATTTTGAAGAAAATAACACTTTGTTTGAATAATGTAAAACATTGTACACAGTCCCTAAAGGTAGAAAGGAACAACAAACTCTTTCTTGTGATTCAGTAGAATTATTCTTTCTAAAATGATGAAATTTCTGATATTTTACTAAAAGTTTAAAAAAAAGTAAATAAAACACCTAGATTTTTCTCAATGGATATAATTAAAAATGAAAGCATTGATATAGATCATATAATATGTGAAATTTTTCATATAATAAAAAGATGATCATAGGAAAATATAAACTTTTAAATATGTATTACCGGGCAAATTGATAAACAATTTGGAAAGATAAAATTAATTCATTTCTTACACCTTACATAACAATCAACTCCAAATGGCTTAGGGAATTTAAATGTAAAAAATGAAAATAAATGGTATAAAAGAAATTGTGAGCAAATTTGTTTTTGAATTTCTATCTGATACTTAGAACATAAATGTTCCATATATTTATAGAATGTGATCTGAAATATTGGTACTTATATTATGAAATATTTAGGTAAGTGTAAACACATAAATCTCCTCAAATAGTTTTCATGTCTTTATGATGAAAACATTCAATCACCTTTCGTTCAGATTTTTGAAATATACATTGCATTGCTGTCATCTGTATTCACCCTACTGTGCAATAGCAAAGAACTTCTTACTTCTATCTAAATGTGTCTTCATTCCCAATGATAAACCAGTCCTCATCCCTCCTTCTTCCTTATTCTTCCCAGTTCTGTTAATTATCATTTTACTCTGGTTTTCATGAAATAAATGTTTTTAGATTCCGTATTAGTGATATCACATAGTACTTGTCTTTCTGTGCCTCGCTTTTTCCACTTAACAAAATGACCTCCTATTCTATTCATGATTTTTCAAATGACAAGATTTTATTCCCCCGCCCTTGAGGTTGAATAGTTTTCTAGTGTGTGACTACGCCACATTTTCTTTATTGTGCATCATTTGATGAACACCTAGGTTGTTTTCAGTTGTTGGCTAATGTGAATTGTCTCCAATAAACATAGGAGTACAGATGTTCCTTTGACCTACTGATTTCATTTCCACTGAATATGTGCCCATCAGTGGGATTGCTGGAGCATATGACATTTCTATTTCTAGTTTTAGAGAATCTTGTATACTATTTTCCAAGTGTCCTAATTCACATTTCCATCAACATGTACAAAGGTTCTGTTCTCTCCACATCTTCAGTAACATTTGGTGTCTTTTGTATTTTTGATGATAGTAAGGTAATATTGTGGTTTTGATTTGCAATTCTGTGATAACTTGTCATGTTGAGGATTTTCTTATATTTGTGTTGGACATTTGTTTGTTTTCTTTTCATGAATATCTA